ACTTAAAGTTTTCGCTGTTATCCGATTGTTACATCAGTATCTCGTGCACTTAGAAATTTCGCTGCTGTCCAATTGTTACCTTAGTAACTCGCGCACTTAAAGTTTTCACTGTTGTCCAATTGTTACCTTAGTATCTCGCGCACTTGGAAGTTTTTTCTGTTCTCCAATTGTTACATTAGTATTCCGTGCACTAAACGATTTCGCCGTTGTCCAATTGTTACCTTAGTATCTGGCGCACTTAAAGTTTTCGCTGTTGTTCGATTGTTTCAATAGCATCTCGCGCACTTAAAGTTTTCGCTGTTATCCAATTGTTACCTAGTATCTTGCGCACTTAAAGTTTTCGCTGCTGTCCGATTGTTACATTAGTATCTCGCGCACTTAAAGTTTTCGCTGTTGTCCGATTGTTACCTTAGTATCTCGCGCACTTGAAGTTTTTTCTGTTCTCCAATTGTTACATTAGTATTCCGTGCACTAAAAGATTTCGCCGTTGTCCAATTGTTACCTTAGTATCTGGCGCACTTAAAGTTTTCACTGTTGTCCAATTGTTACCTTAGTATTTCGCGCACTTAAAGTTTACGCTGCTGTCCGATTGTTACATTAGTACCTCGCGCACGTAAAGTTTTCGCTGTTGTTCGATTGTTTCACTGGCATCTCGCGCACTTAAAAGTTTTCGCTGTTATCCGATTGTTTCCTTAGTACCTTTCGCACTTATTGCTTTCTCTGTTGTCCGATTGTTACATTAGTATCTCGTGCACTTAAAGTTTTCGCTGTTGTCCGATTGTTACATTAGTATCTCGCGCCCTTATAGTTTTCTCTGCTGTCCGATTGTTACATTAGTACCTCGCGCACTTAAAGTTTTTGCCGCTGTCCAGTTGTTACATAAGTATCTCGCGGACTTATAGTTTTCTCTGTTGTCCGATTGTTACATTAGTATCTCACGCACTCAAAGTTTTCTCTGTTGACCGATTGTTACATTAGTATCTTGCGCACTTAAAGTTTTCGCTGCAGTCCAATTTTTACATTAGTATTTCGCGTACTTTAAGTTTTCGCTGTTGTCCGATTGTTACATTAGTATCTCGTGCACTTCAACTTTCTGTTTTCTTATTGTTAGGTTGGTATCTCGCAGAATTAAGGTTTTGGTTGTTATCCGATTGTTCTCTTAGTACCTTGTGTGCTTGAATGTTTTGCTGTTGTGCAATTGTTGCGGTTGTTTTTCACACGCTTAAAGTTTTCCTCTATGTCGGACTGTTACGTTAGTATCTCACACGCTTGAATATTTGCTGCTAATCTGATTGTTACGTTAGTATCTCGCGACTTCAACTTGTTGTTTTCCGCTTGTTTCGCTAGTATCCCGCGCAGTTTAAGTTAAAAATTTTCACCTACGCCTATGTTACACAGACCACAAATACATTGAAACACATTCTCAAACTCCTTATATTTCTCCAAGGTGCGAGTA